GCTGGCCGGGCGAACGAGGCTCAGTGCCGGGGTGGCGGCTGGCGGCTCTGCGTCCGTCCTGTGGGTGCTTTCTGCAGGTGCCGCCCACCGAGCCCCGTTCTGGGCGGAGGCGTTGATGGGGCGAGGGCTGTGAGGGCGACAGGGCGGGGCTCCAGCCCAAGGGTGAGGACGACCCGTTCCCCACCACCTGGAGGCTGAGGCAGGAAGCGGGAAGAGGCAGCCGCCCTTTAGGGCCCTGGCAGTGGGGCGTCGCCCTGAAGGGACAGACTAGGAATCTCTCCCCCTGGCCCCGAGCTGGAATCACCTCAGCAGCTTTTAACAGTAGCAGAGGCCTGTTGGAGTCCCCTCCAGGCCGGGTCACCTGCGGCGCGACCTTCGCAATCACACCCTGCAAGACTGCAAGGTGTGCGTGATCCGGCTGCGCTTCTCTCACAGCCCCGCCCCCAAGGCCCCTATCTCCACACCACGCCCTCCAGAAACCCCGCCCCCAATACACCAAGGACCGTCAGGCCACGCCCCTCTCGTGACTCCGCCCCGACACCGCCGCAAAGACCCAGGAAGGGTGCAAGGCCTGCGGACCTTCGTCCCATGGACAGGCGCAGGAGGGAGCGGTTCCACCGTGGCTGTGTTGGCCCTCGGGTTCTGCGCCTGGGGATGGAAAGTCCCTGTTGCCTGTGCCCCCATCTCTTGGAATCCATCTCCTGGCCAGCGTCGGCCAAAGCCAGGGACTGGACTTTGGAAGGAGGTGGGGGTGTCCGCGCCGCACAGCCCCTGTCCCTGCTGCCTGTGTCCAGGTGACACGCTCCAAAGCCACGACCCCTTGCGCAGGGTCTGCCCAGGTGCACCCAGCCAGGCAGCTCGCCCACAGGAGTGAGAGGGCACAGGTCCAGAGAGCGGCAGGGGCAGGCTGGGTGGGACGCGGCACCCTTTACTTGCCCCCGGGTGTCCAAGGTGGCCCGGGGACCATCCTGCCTCCTCCTACCACCTCCATAGCCGCTGACCAGAAGGAACTGCCGCTCAGAAGACAGGAACGCCCCTCCTGGCTCTAGGCAGCTGCCCCCTCTCTGAGGAGCCTCAGGGACAGGGATAGGGCAGAAATCAGGGAGGGACCAGGACCCCGAGGCCTTTATCTCCAAGGTCAGTGTGCCCACCCTGCAACTGCAGGAAAGAGCTGGCAGTGAGGACTTCAGACCCCACACTTTACACAGTCACCCTCACCCTGTGCCACCTTGTGGGGAGCTGTGTCATCGCCCCCCTAGGACAGAGCACGGAAGCCCTGGGTGCACACAGCTGGTCCCCTCCTTCACCTCGCTCAGGATGTGGTCTCAGGGCCCACGCGTGCACCCTAGCTCTCCTTCCCCGCCACACAGGCTGGGTGCTGATGCCCTGGACGCCTTTCCCAGGGTTGAGCTGGAATCCTGCAGTTACCCTGGGTTGCAGGTGTGTTCCCAGGCATCTGTCTCATCTGAAAGGGGTTCAGCCCAGGGCCCAGTGCGGCCAGTGGCAACTCCAGGAGGGCTCCGAGTCCTGAAGAATTCTCCTCCTCTTGGCCACCCTATCCTGGGAGCCCTGGGTGCCCAGGGTTGCCATCTACCAATGAACCCCTGGCACCTTTGGTTGGGCCCAGCGGCTGTCTCTCCCAGGCTCATGGGTTCTGTTGTCCCAGAGGCACGCACGTCCTAACACAGCATGGGAGGCGGTGGCAGACTGTAGTAGGGTGCAGGGTGGGAACGTGGGAAGAGCCTTTCCCAGGACACAAGGCTGCCAGAGGGTCTGGACAGGGTGCTGTTGGCCCTGTGCTCCATGCTGGGGAGGCTCCGGGACGGTGCCCGGACAGCCTGCCTTGCCTGGGGAAGAGAGAGGAGGAGGCCCGGGGGGAAAAGAGCAAAGCCACACAGTTCAACCCAGCGTAGCCAATAGCAGGCTCTTGGGCTGAGGAAAGGGGTGGGAAAGGGGCTCAGGGAAAGACCCTGCCCTGTGCCTGGCACCCAGGGGTGTGCAGGCCACCTGTGCCCAACCTGCCTTGGCCTGGCCCTCAGAGCCCTGTCCTTAGTCAGCAGCACTCAGGAGGGGCTGGGGATCCCTGAAAACCCCGCTGCAGTGGAGGCAGAGGGGGGACATGATCCTAGGCCCTTCCAAGTGGGAGCCCTTTGGTCTCGACAGGGCCTCTGCAGGGTCTGTCCTCAGCCAAGGGCACAGGGCATCAATGCTGGGCCCCTTTGGAGGAGGAGGTGCTGAGGATCTGCGTTTGGCCAGAGGCAAAGACAAGTTGTCTCCTGCAGGGCTGGGGTCTCAGACATGTGCCACTACACGGGGCAGCGTGACGGTCTTTTTCCTTTTTTCTTTTTTTTGTGGGGGGAGGGTCTTTTTGAGACAGGGTCTCACTATACAGTTCAGGCTGACCTTGAGCTCACGTAGCCCAGGCTGGTCTCGAACTTGCAGCTATCCTCCTGCCTCAGCCTCCCTAGCGCTGGGATTACAGGCGTGCGCCACCACACCTGGCCAGTTTTTATTTTTTTTATTTCTACTTTTATTTTTTTGGTAGCACGACAGTCTTGAAAGGGTTCAGAGGACTGCTCTGCTTTCCCCCAGGCGGGGCGGACCATGAATGAGGACACAGAGCCCATGAGGGTTGTACTCCTGTGTTTGTGGGTGCGGGAGCCCTGCTATGCCCATGTAGCCGAGAACCTCCCAGGACAATGCCATCTGTCACCACCCCCAAAGGAGCCCGTTGGTGTCTACCCAGGAAAGGGTGGTTGGGGAGTAAAACCTGACCAAGATGCTGAGGCTGAGGGAATTCTGCCTTCAGTCGGCCTTGGGTCCCAGCAGCCACAGCCCTTGGCCCAGGGCCTTCAGCCTGCCGGTTGACCTTGTGAGTGTTTCAGCTTCCCAGCCTCCCAACAGTAAGAGTCAGTTCTTTAAAACAAATTTCTCAACCCCTCATTTCTATGTAAATCTACCTACCTATCACCTGTCAACTCCCCATCAATCACCTGTCTGTCTGTCCATCCATCTACCTGTCATCTACCCACTAAACCTGTCTTTCTGTGTATGGTTTATTGATCCCATGTCTCTGGACAACCCTGAATAGCGCAGTTTACACAAGGAAAGAAGGGCTGGGGATCTAGCTCAGTGGCATAAGTGCCTGCCTGGCAAGCGCGAGGTCCTGGGTTCTATTTCTGGTACCAAAAACAAAAACAAAAAACAACAACAACAACAAAAAAAAAAAAAAACCAAGGAGATTGTTTCAAATCTGGAATAACAGAGATCTCAACAAAGAAAAGCCTACACGGGTCAGTCACACAGGTGAACCTGCCCAAGTGGGCATAGCAGTGATTCTTCTGGAACACTTCAGAAAACACAAGTGGCCATTTCCTCACTCCAGGGTGGGGCTGGCACTGGGCCTGATCTTGCTGTGCCAGAAGCACCAGCTCCGGAGGGGTCATCAGGGCTGCCTCCAGGCCAACAGCTGGTTGTGGGCTCTTCTGTAGTTCTCAGTGGTTCTGGGTCCTGTATGGCTCCAGCTCTGGAAACAGCAGTGAAAGTGGCTCTAGGTGTGGAGTCAGTGCTCCAGCTGATGCTGGGGCTCCTGGAGGGGCGCGTGACATCTGGGCTTGGGGGCAGGAGTGGCGTTGGCGCTGAAGGCCTTGCTGAGGCTGGTGTGGTCTCTAGAGCTGGTGCCATCTCTAACTCTGCAGCCAGCACAGCAGTTGGTGACAACGCTGCCTCTGCATCTGGAGTCGGTGCCGCAGCTGGTTCTGGATCAGTCCTGTTCTGGCCCTGGAGGCAGCACCAGGTCTGCTGGAGGTCAGGCCCAGTGCAGGAACAGGTTCTGGCACACAAGCGAGCTCAGGTGCCGACGCCAGTGCCCAGCAGTGCGTCTCCGGAACATGCTGTTGGTTCCAGCTCTGGGCCTGGCACCGACTCTGACCCTGACAATGCGTTGTGCGGCAGGTTCTGTTCCAGAGCCAGTGCTAGAGCTGGGCCTGAAGCCACACAGCAGTGGTGGTGAGGCGATAGGGTCTTTCCTGCCCATGGAAAGGCATGAAGAAAGGCTAGTCCTCTGCAGCTTTTCAGCTCCACGCTTCTGGCCCTGCCCCAGCTCCTGTCCGCTCTGGAACCAGAGCCACGCCACAGCCAGCAACACCACAGCCCCAGCACCCGGGCCTCCCTGGCCTCTGCCTGTGGCCGCGGGGAACGGGCTGAGCAAGGAGAGGTCTCTCTCCTGGTGCTCCCTCCTGTCCCTCCGGTCTGTCAGGCTGGATGATGAGTGGCCCAGGGCGAGGGCAGGGACAAGGCACTGCAGACGCCTGGCCTCTGTGGCCCAGACTTGTTATCCTGGGTCCAGAGCTGAAGTCCCTGCCCAACCTTGCCTCCTCCGGTGCCAAACATGTGGCCGGGCATATTTCTTCATCCTGAGACCTGAATTCCCCTCTAGCAGTGGACATGGGGTGCCCTGCCCCCAGCCTGGCCACCACCCCGTGACTATGGAGACTAAGGGTTTGGAACAGACAGAAAGCTCAGCTCCCGAGGGTCCCCCATGGGTCACCCCCATCTGTCTGGGCAGCCTCAGCAGGCACTGGGCAACCTGAGGTGTGCTAGAGGCCACGCAGAAGTGGGTGCATCGCGTGGCTCCCTCTCTGCCAGGGCAGAGGCTACTGGCGGGTCCCAGGCCCAAGGCAGGAGGGTGCCCAGGTGGCTTAGAAACGTCAGGGCAGAGCACTCAGGGCCCTGCATAAAAGAGGAGGCAAGCATCGCTGCCCGACCGCGGGGAACGCCGGTTGGTCACAGGTGGCTCAGGGGTGGCGGCCCAGGCCAAGACCCCGCGCGCGGGGAGCAGGGCAGGGAGGTTTGATGGGCGGGGCGCTGCGCCGGTCGCCCGCCCCGCGCGCTTCCCTGAGATAGCCCGGGTGCAGGCTGAGGCCCTGCGGGCCCTGCACCCGGGGCTGTGCGCTGGCGAGGCGCAATTGGACGCTAGAGGGCGCTACGGCGGCGGAGTCTGTCCCTCGCGGGCCGCCGTCCGCACTGGTATAAAGGGCGCGGCGCGGGACCGTGTGTCCTCTCGGCAGCCATGGAGGTCCGGCGGGGCGGTGGTGTGTGGTTATCGTGTTCGGCGGCGGGGAGAGGCCGCGCGCTCTCGTGGAGGTGGGCCCGGGCCCTGGATGGCTGCGGGTAATCTGACCTTCCCCCTGGAAAACAGCTGTAACTTTTATTTGTGCAGTAAGTTTTTTTTCTTTTTCGGTCTTTTTTTTTTTTGAGGCAGGGTCTCTCTGTGCAGTTCAGGCTGGCCTTGAGCTCACTTTGTAGCCCAGGCTGGTCTCGGAACTTACACGATCCTCCTGCCTCAGCCTCGCGAGTGCTGGGAGTGCTGGGATTACGGACGTGCGCCACCACGCCCGGCTGCAGTAAGCTTTGAGATAAGAAAATGAAAGGAACTTGGTGAGGTGCTCGCGGGTAAGGGAATCCCAGCCTCCAGGAGCAAGGTCATGAGTCAGGAGCGGAGCGTGGCGGCACACGCCTGCAGTCCCTGCACCCTGCAATCCCTGCACCCGGAGGGCTGAGACAGGAGGGTCTCTGCGAGTTCAAGCCAGCCTGCGCTGCATAGCGTGACCCTGTCGCAAGAACAGAGGAGGGGTTGGGACACAAATTTATACACACAGGGAGAAAGAGGAGGGAGTACCATGGGTTGGATCTTTCAAGAAGACCCCTTGTAAGCCGAAGCAGTTCTTTCTCTTGGGAGACAGTGTGCAGCAGAATAGTTTTTTCACAACACCGCGGCGTATTCTTGCTGATATCTGTATACTTTCTTTTTCTTTTGGTACCGGGAATTGAACTCAGGGTCTTGCACTTACCAGGCAAGTGCTTGTGCCGCTGAGCTATATCCCCTGCCTGAGATCTGTATAAAGCATGTTTTCTTCTCCCCTAGGGAGTTTGCCTGCCGGAGCCGGAACTCCTGTAAGGAGATGCTGGAGTCTTGAATGAGTTGACAGGTTGGTGCTGGAACAGGCCTCACACACACACAGTCAAACCTAAGTGATGACCTGGACCCCTGGGTCTTCAGCCTGCAGACCCTGCCCCTCGAGGCGTTGCAGGTGTGGCTGCTGTGTCACATCTGCGTCACTAGGTGGCAGAGAGAATCGAGGCTATGTCTACGCTCAGTGTTCTGACCCGTGAACGCCTGAATGATTAGTAGCCTGACACCGACAGAGCCATTGCAGGGTGCCATGTGCTTGCCGGCCACCTGGAGCCTGGTGAGTGAGGCCACCTTCTGCTGATGACCCTCAGTCACCTGAGGGTCTTGCAGTCCCACGGCAGGAGACAGGAGGTAGTTCACTGCCTGCAGGGAGGGGGTTTATTAGGTTGCCTCCTTAAAAACCATAGAAAGTAGTGCCTCCACTCTTTTTGAGACAGGGTCTCACCGTGTAGCTCAGGCTGGCCTTAAACTCATGGTAATCCCACCTCAGCCTCCTGAGTGCTGGGATTACAGGCCTGCACCCCCGTGCCTTGCTAGATGGCATGGTCAAAACCTAACAGTTGTACCAGCTTTTTAAAATCCCAGGGCCTTATTCCCGACACAGTAGCACACAGTAGTCCCAGCACTGGGTAGCTGAGGCAGAAGGATCACAAGCTCAAACCCAGCCTAGACAATTTAGACCTTGTCTCAAATTTTAAAATACCACTCGGGGTATCGGTCAGTGTTAGGGCCTCAGGGTCACTGCCAGTGCCATGGCAAAGAAAAACCTAGAGCATTTTCTTCCTGTGTCCCTTTCTCCATCATTGGAGGACTGTCCGTCACTGGTGGCCCTGGGAGAAGGTGGGCGTGTGAGTGCAGAAATCTCTGGCGGCCTCCCTGGTTACAGGTGCTGCAGAGGCAAGCGTGGTGCGTGATCCTCACTCTGGTCTGCCCGTTGGGGCCTTTTGTGAGTGTGGACAGGAAGAATTAAGTTCAGTGCGTCATTCATACTGTTCACCTTGCAGGGGGCTGTGGAAGGGCCCCCTTTTACTAGTAATGGGGAGGTCAGCCCTCCTGGAGGGAACAGCATCCCTGCATCTGCAGTTACTTCCCATCTGTTACCCGCGGTCACTGCAGTTCGCAGGTATTAGGGAAGCTACGAGCGGTGAGGCGCAGTCTCTGCATCTTGCCCTGGGCGCGAGGCATCCCTTTGGCTGTCAGTAAGCTCCAGCCCCACAGTGCTGGGGTCGTGTACCCCTCAGTTTACTGCATGGCTCCTAAGTGCAAGAGTAGCGATGCTGGCATTTCAGAGGAGCCGTCCTGCCCTGCCGTAAGTGAAAAGGTGAAGCTTGATCCTAGTGTGTTTGCTTAGGAGAAGATGGAGTATGTGTACGGTTTGCCCTGTCTGGTTTCTGACCATTTTTGGTATTTATGCAGGAAAGATGGTGACTGAAGGGGCTCTGCCTGATGCTCAGCCAGCAGAACCGGCCGGGAGCTGCATCCCAGTCAAGGTTAGGAGAAATGCAAGCTGGACCTGTGTGGGACGCTGGCTCTGGGGGTGCGCAGCTGCCCTACAGATGGGGTCCTGGACCTGCCAGCACCATGGCACAGCCACTCCTCTGTTCCTGTGACTTTGGGGCAAAGAGCAACTGGCTATTTCTACGCTCAGTGTTCGGAGACCAGTGAGCACTAAGAATGGTGTATAGCCTGACATTTCGGAACAGCAGCAGGGCTGTGGGCTTCGAGGGGCGCTGGCTGGCAGGCTTGCAGTGTAGTGGGTGGGCCAGCCTGGGTCTCCTTCCCAGACCTGCTTCCTGGGGAGAACTAAGAACCACCAAGCTGGCAGGCACAGACCCACAGTGGGGACCCTGTGTGAGTGACCAAGAACAGAATCCACCTCTGGTCTATTTGGGCCTGGGGAGGACCGCAGAGGTCCCCGCTGGCTTTATGCTGTGGGCGAGGCCAAGGCTGGGGCTTTCATGGGTTGCCCAAAGCTGTGCAGTCTGTTCTTAGCCCGCATGTCCCTCCCAGGAAGGGTGGAGGCCAGGGGTGCTGCCGTGTAACCTGCAGTGCCCAGGAAGTCCCGTGGTCCTGAAAGTCAGCGGCACCAGACCTTGCTGGGTCCAGCTCTGCAGTTGAGGCGCTTCCTGGCATCCTGCGGTGAACCCAGGTGAAAGCAGTGACACCTCACCGCCCTTCCTTCTGACCCCACCCCTCTGCCTTTTCCAGATCCGGAGCCTGTGAAGGAAGGGGTCTGGCTACACGCTGTGTGGTGGGTCAGACAGGCACAGGTGCAGCTTCAGGACTGGACGCTGTGCGAGTGGACACTGCCCACCCATCTGGGCCTTGGCCAGTGCTGTGCTGTGCAGCTCCATGCAGGGAAGGCCAGGGACCCGGGGTCAGGGCTGCCTGGCTCTTCATTCTCTTGGCCCAGTTCCTGTGCTGACTGATGGGGATCATCCTGCTGTCAACCACTGCATCTTGCCTGAAATGGGAAAATACAACAGGGGAAAGGGCAGCTTAAGTGGAAAGTGGAGTGGGGCCCTTAGCACCGAGATCATGGGAAGCTGTGGTTGGAACCTGGGAATTTAAGCTGGAACTTGTTATGCAGAAAACAATAAAGCGAACTAAAAGGTTTGTTGGTGTTCTTGGGAGGGTGGTTGTGTGCTGGCAGAGACAAGAACCAAGAGACTTGCGTGGGGATCAGGCCCTGCTGCGGGGGACCTTACTGGCTGGGTCCTCGTGGAGAAGAGTTGTGGACCCTTATTGGGTACTCTTATTCGGTCACTTGGCTACTTCCCAAAAAATGAATTATACAGATAATAGGTAGACTGGTGGCTTTGTTTTTAAACAGGGTTTGGCTATGTTGTACATGCTGTCCTTGAATTATGTGATCCAGGAAATCCTGTCTCAGCCTCCCAAGTGCTGGGATTATAGGTGTGTGCCACTATGCCCAGTTCTTGCATAAATCTATCACTGCCTCATCACTAGCACCCGCCTGTATTTTGAGACAGGGTCTCACTAGCCCAAAACCTACGGTGGTCCTCCTGCCTCAGCCTCCCAAGTGCTGGGTTTACAGGGGTGTACCACCCCACCCAGCAAACACCTCTCTACCTGCTGATAGGTACCCAGTGTAAACTAGGTGGTAGAGCACCTGTCAAGCACAGAAGGCTCCCAAGTTGAATCTCTATCACAAAATGAGTCCAGCACACACCTGGAATCTCAGCACTGAGAAGCTGAGGTAGGAGGATGGAAAGACTAATTGCTCCCAGGCCTGGTCAGAAGTTCAAGGTGTGCTCAGGCTTTGACTCAAACAGCTGTTGACCCCCTGACACCAAGCTGACAGCAGGCCACCCTCGTGAGGGAGACCCCCATGCAGTGGGCATGGCTCCTTGTGCCCTTGCATCACACAAAAGCCATTTATTTACATCTGCTCTTCAGAGCCTGCCCACTAGGTCAGGCGGTGCCCCCACCCTCCTGCCCTCTCTGACCCCAGCCTTTGCTGTGGAGGTGGGGCCGAAGTGGACAGCCTGGTGCCCCTAGGGATAGGGGCCCCTGCTGTGGGTGTCACGCTCCTTAGGAGTACTTGGTGTTGGAGATCTCCTTCCAGAGCAGCGTCTTGAGGTGGCTGAGCACCAGCGAGTGGTGGGCCTCCACCTGGCTGGCCAGCCCGCTCAGCGTGGTGCAGGTGCGCAGCTGTTTGCTCAGCTCCTCGCGCAGGTCGGCAGGCGCGCCAGGCAGCAGGTAGTCCCGCAGCAGCTCGCACACCTTGGCCAGGTTGGGCTGGAGGAGGTCGCCCTTGCACTGCCGCATAAGCCGGTCACAGGGGGCCCTGCAGTCACGCCCGTAGGTGCAGTCGGCACTGCGCTCGCAGCGGCGGCCCTGCAGGAAGCGGCGCACGGTGGCCTCAGGTGCCACCTGCTGCAGGTCGGCCATCTTGAAGTCGTAGGTGGCTGTGTAGCCCACGTTGGCCAGCGTGGTCTCACACATGTAGAAGGTCCCGTAGGAGCCGTGGAAGAGCTCCTCCACGAACTCCAGCAGGCCGATGGCAATCTTGGCACGCCAGGGCCACGCAGGCCCGAACCACTGCTGCAGAGCCCTGTGCAGCGCGGGGGGCAGCAGCGGGCGCAGCAGCGGGGGCAGCATGGCCCCGGGCCAGGAGCCGTGGGGCGCGCCCTCGGTGAGGTAGAGGTCCCCGCAGCAGCCCAGCAGCCGCGAGGCGTGCTCCTTCTCCTGCAGGGACAGCAGCAGCAGGAACTCATTGCGCTGCAGCAGGGCCCACACAGACTTGGCCTCCGCCAGGGACACTCGGCTGTCCTTGTTGAAGTCGGCCATGAGCAGGACCTGGCCGACCAGCGCCGGCAGGGAGGGCAAGTCTCCCAGGTTCGCCTGGTGTTGGGACCGGAGGGGAGGGAGGCCAAGTCACTTGAGGACCAGGAGCTCTACTCCACCAGCAGAGCACAGGACCTGCCCTGGTCCCCTTGGGTCCCCTGAGCCAGCAGAACCCGGCCCTAGGACCTCTGCTGTTCAGGCCCCCCCACCCAGCACACCTCCGGCATGCTGACTCGTCCCTGGAGTACGTGAGGGTCCCAGCGAGGCCCTGGTGCTGGCTGGAGGCCTGGGCAGCAAGGCCTTCCCCTCAGGGAACCCCCAGGCTCTGCCCACTCACCTGTCCACTGCCCTAGAAAGGCCCCTTTCCCGCTGCCTCTGCCTGCAGGGTGCAGGGAGGCCTGCCGCATGGTCCCCTCAGGCCCACCCAGGCCTGGGCAGCACGCTGACCTTGAGGAAGCTCAGGGTCATCTCCCGGAACTCCTTGATGGACGTGCCCCGTGTGGGCTTGTCAAACAGCACCAGCTCCTGCCGGGGTGCCGTCTCCGGCCGGGCCTTAACATTCAGGGCCTCCTCGATGCTGCACTTGATGGTCACCTCCTTGTCCTGCCACAGCCCACTGTACACCTGGACGAGGCCACAGGGACCCTCTGTGTGGATGCCCCCCTCCCACGGTGGGTGCAGCAGCTCAGGCCCACCTAGCCCTGCCCACATACCTGCTGGCCCGGGGCCGGGGATAGGCAGGTCCGCCACTCCACTGTGCGCAGCTCACACAGGTCCCGGCAGATGGAGCCTGAGATGATGCCCTTGCGGTACTGGTCACACTAGGGATGTGGGAGCCAGGGTGTGGCTGGGGTGCAGGCTAGTGGCTGCAGCCCCACCTTCATGGATGCCCTCAGTCCAAGGGCCAGCAGGGGCCCCTGCGAGGAGGCATGTCACACAGCAATGAGCCCACCAGGGTGGGCATCCA